ACCGGACCGGGGACCGGCAACGGTATTGCAACCCTCGGTGCTGCTCCCGCGCCTCGCTCAGCCAGTGAGCGGGAACCGGTCTGCATGTGGGATCCGAACCCTCGGGCGGGAGCGCCGCCGCGCTTCCCAAGCGGCGCACTTATCCAGTGCGCCACCGGGCCGGCCCATTCTGTTTTTAACCAAGCTCCTTGTTTGAACACAGCTATTCTACTTTTATTACTGCCACCCACGTGTCACTGTCCTGGGGGCAGGACAGCATGGTCTGGTCTTTTCTCCTAGAGGTGTTGTTGGAATTGGGGTGGTCTGGATAGCATGACCACCTCCTGCACTCATCTCTTTTGCTTCACTTTCCCAACTGAAAAAAAAGTAACACTATTAACACAATTTAATTAAATCATTGGGATATTTGGGTGTTAAGAGGTCAAAGGCACTAGGAAGACAAAATCACTAGGATAACACAAAATGCAATTTTCAAGACCTCTTTGACATCCTTCCAACTCAAGGACAACTCTTGACCATGGCTTTTTAGTTATTGAAGGGGAGAATTCTTTTCTCCAGATTCCATATGGCAGTCTGGGCCAAACTACATTGTATGCTGCAAATGTCCTGTTCAGTGATAAATCAGGCAGGTGGCTTTAGGGAAATCCATTGTGTGGGCTGCTATTGGAAGAGAATTATGTTAAACAGCGATCCAGCCTAATCTGTAGAAGAGTTAGTGTCCTGGGGCTTGCACTTCCATGGGTGAGGAGAAAGAGTGGCTTCACCCTGCAAAGAAGACTGTGAGAGAGGGTGTTGGAAATGCGACAATGCACATGTACCTGTGGTGGCTGTGGCACTGATGGTTTTGGTTCGGATGCTGGGAGCAAGGCCAGAGAGGTAGACAACAAAAGCAGTACTAGGGGGAAGCCCTGAGATGTGGGCAGTTCGTTCAGCACCAGAGATATTATATTCTGCTGTCTCCAGCAACCTATTGGAATCAATAATTTCAATGGTAAAGATCTCGAAGGTCCCATTGGTAGCTGTCCAGGAGAGATTGAAGCTCTCAGGAGTTATGTCATAAACATTTAAATTTCCAATTTCAGGTTCTTCAGCTGAAAAAGGAGGGGTAAGAGAGAAGAAACAAATAAATTTATTAATTATTTGGCTGTATTTAAAGATTGAGGGTATTAATAAAACTATTGCTGGGTAGAAAGATCAGCTAGTTTAAGGTTATGGTGAAATAAAGCAATGTTACCAGTCAGTACCAATGAGAAAGAAAAAGAGGTTTTGTTAAAAACAAAACAAAACAAAAAAGCTATGGCAATTAGATTTCCCTGCTCTGCAGTTGCCAAACATGATCAGGCCCTGGCAGAGACCCCAGAGAGAGAGAAGACATGCTGAATGATGTCAGCAGGAGCTGCTGTGCCTTAGCAGTGAATGCCTTGGGAACACCACCTCTGGCCATCAGTCAAAAGATATGAGTGCTGGCAGCTTCCAATTTCTTGAATTGCACTCAGGAGACTGAGAATACTTGGATGCCTCTCACAGACTTCCTTTGCTTTGCGGGAGCTCCCATCTATTCAAATGAGGGCTAAATAATTCTGATGCCATTACCCACCCAAGGTGGTATCTTGAGGTTTCTGATTTTGTGACTTAAAGGGGACTTCCAATTTCTCAGTGTAATTCTTAGTATGTCTTTCATAACTCCAGACAAGGGCCAGCCAGCATTCTCATATTTTATAAAATAGCTTGTCCCTTCTTCACTGCTTCTATGTGGGCCAAGAAGGCTGGTACTGCATTGCTAACCAAGACAGCTGGGCCAAGACAAGGCAGTTTCAGCAATGCCTTTCAGCCAAGAAATAACATTTTGCCTTGGAGATGGTCTTGCAAGTGCTTTTCCAAGCAGCAGGAATAAAACATGCAGAGGGCAGGCAGGATCAGGGTTTGAAAAGTTAACAAGTACTGTCTCTTTAGCAAGGGAGAAGGCTCCTGGTGTCTGAGATCATCCCAACAGATTTGTATGACACGGATCAGAGATCAGAGGGGATTACGACCTTTCCTTTCTATAGGCCAACTCATCAGAGGCAGGTATGTTGCTATCATTAAGAAGAAAAACACACACACGTAAAAATATTAATGACACCCAAACCACAAGATCTGCAGGAAAGATCAGAAGTGATTGGTGATTTCTCTGCTTTCTGGGAAGGGATGGTTTGTGGATGTCAGATAAAAGAGTCTCAGGCACATTTGAGAAAGCCTCAGCTGCAATTTCTGGACTTTTCAGGGTCACTGTCTAAATAGTAGTTGCTGTGTTTTATGTTTATCTCAATGAGAGTTACTGAAATGACTGGGGCTAAAATGCAGAGCTATGCTTTTGCTAGAATTGCCTAGGATGTACAGATTTGCCATGAAAGCTGAGTTGCGATAATTACATAAAGTGGAGGCAGTCATATGCAAAACAAAGCAAAGCAGTCTCTACTGAGCTTCAAAGCAACTGAGGTACGTAATAAAGATATACAATGGGAAACGGTGCTGGGGGAGGGCTGCTCGCTTTTGGAGACTCCCAGAGAAATACAGAAGACACTGTAACCAGAGGAGGGTGAGGAGAAAACTGTAATGTACCCTCTTGGGTCTGGGGCTGGGAGTTTGCCATCCAAAGGTCAGATCTCCAAGGAGCAACTCTTGTTTAAAAGAGCAAAAAGGATATCAGTTCTTTGACCTTCATAGCCTGGACATTCCTTGTTCCGAATGCTGCTGTGTATACTTCTGCTAATGAATGGCTTTCTCTTTGGCGCAGTCTCCAGTCATAATTGTGCAATTTTTTTTTTCCTTTTTGGTCCAGCTATTTGCTAATTTGAGGTTCTAACAATTACTCAGTATCTGAGAGAATTGCCTAGAGGAGGGCAATTCAGTTCCCTTATTATGCTCAGTGCCTTTTAAAGAAACATTTCTTAAGTGTAAGAACAATAGTACCTGTACCCTTGAGGGATATGGAGATAGTAAAGCACCATCTCTGACTAGCAAAAACTCTCTAATTAAATAATCTGTGTTCTACCAGAACACACACGTAGGAAGGGTGGGCTTTTAGTTATATCCAAGCACTGGAGAAATGAATTAAAACCGTCAGGCTGATTCCTGAAATGAAAAGCCATTCCACAAAAGAGAGGTGGTTGTAGGACCAGCCAGGGAAAGCATGGGAGCTGGAGGTGAGAAAGGACAACACTGCACATTCATTGCTGTAATGGCAAAGGCGTCGGGGCAAAGGCAAGCCCACAGGCACTTCTCTGAGCATGCTCGGCCAGCGGCTAAAGGGCACATGGAAAGGCTTCAGTGATGGAGAGAAGCTGACTCCCAGCATGATCTCTTGGAGAGGAAGCAGGGAACCTTGGGAGGAAGCATTGACAAGGAGAAGAAGGTACCTGTGGAGACCTCAGCAGTGAGCACTGGTGTCCTATAGCCCTGGATCACCCCATAGATGGAGACTCTGTAAGGGGTGGCAGCCTTGAGGCCCGGAATGTCCATGGCCCGGAGGCTGCCGGACACTGTGAGGTTCTGAGCGGCCTCCACCTTGTTGGCTTCCTGCACCTGAATGACAAAGTGCTCGAAGGCCTGGTCAGCTGCGATCCAGTGGAGTTTGAGTCCATCCCAGCCAACCTCAGTCACGGCTAAGTCTCCCAGCTGGGGGAGCTCCTCTGAAGGAGGACAGAGAAGTGTTTGTCAGTTCTGCAAACCAAGAACGAGCAACCTAAACGTCCCACAGCCCAACCCTAGGAAAGAGAAAGGGGAGAGAGAATTTTATTTTATTTATTTATTTTTAAATCCCTGGTTTCTGGGCATTTGCAAACTTGAACTGTGGCCACCGCTTTCTCCAGGAGTTGAAAATGACAATGGGGAAATGGTCAGAAATATCTGCACCGTTCATTCTCAAGGTGGCAAAGTCATTTGAATCAGTGCACGCCCCACCAGGAAGTCTCTGAGATGCACGGCCAGCTGCCGAAGGGTGCAGGGAAAAGGTGGGATTGTGGGTCAGGGTAAAGGAAATGGGAATGGTTAAAAGAGCAGACTTTGGAGGCAGATGGCACTTGGTTGGAATCCCAACACTGATATTTGCTAGCTGTGTAACCTTGGGCATGTCATCTACCTTCTGAGCCTCACTCTCCTGACATTTAAATGGAGCTGACTACCATTTCACTGCATTGTGTAATGATTAAAGGATAATAATTATCAACCTCTTAGTATCACACCTTGCACATAGTGAGTGCCTGATAAATGGCAGCCTAAAAAATACATCATGTTTACGTGTTTCCCCCCGGGAACTTCCCAGTCCTGTGGGAGAGAATTACCTGCTTATCTCCTCGCCTGAAATTAGAGAGATCATCTCATTGCTTGCCTCATGCTATCTGCCTGGTTTTATAAAGAGTACGCTGTCTCAGGTTCGGACAAGTATGATGTTTTATCTCTGGACTTCTCAGCTTTCAGGGATCAGAGGTGATGTACTGGCTTTTCGGCTTGGTTCTTCTCCCACTGTCTGCTAGTACTTTGCATCTCTGAGGAACGGCTGTGTTACAAAGCAAGGCTGTTTGTGTGAAATGAGCCTGCTACTTTTAGTTAAAAGTGCTTGTGTTTTTGCTCAGTAAATGGTGCAGAGCAAGGCCCACTATTAATGTTTCTACAATGTAGAAAGGAAATTTTATGTAGTTATTGCTGATTTAGAAAGGTTGGATTCAGGTTATGGAAAAACTAGCTGCTTTGTGGATTGTTTCTCAGGATTAAATGCAGTCTTTCAGCCTCTATATTTAAGGCTGCAGTGGCCATAGATTAGAAGTTAGGGAGGAAAATATCCACAGGGGTCTCAGCCAAACAAAGATGGGAGACAGATACTCGTTCTGAGGTATCCCAGGATTCAGCGCACGGTGAGAGCCTGAGCAACCTCCCTCTTTCAGAGGGGCTGTTTTTAAGCTGTGTTCCATGTGGATCTGGTGCTTTTCTGGAAGAACTGCTTTGGGGACACAAATGTAGGTGTCCCCCTCTTCCTTCTCAGCTCACCAGGAACAGCTGTTCATTTATCTGTCATAGAGCGTGGTTCCTTGGAAGATTTCATTTGTAAAAGGAGCTTTGCAAAACAAAAGTTTGCAGAATATAGATATAGATCATCGGCATCCTGCACCAAGGTCACACATGTCTCAAAGGTCCTTTTTGCTCTTGTGTGGCCTGAAGATATTTCAGGGAACACAGGACAATGATAACCTGGCCAGCTTTGGTATATTATAACATCATCTTTCTTATTTTTGGAATGTGTGTAGTTTCTAGTAATGACCAAGTTTATTTGGTATATATGAGCAAGAAAAACAACTTATTTGAAGTAGATGGTGTGGGTGGCATTTTCAAAATACAGGGTATGCAAAGTGGGGCATGGGCTTAGGGCCCAGAATAAAAACTTTATTACCAAAAATTTGGCCCATTTGCCCATTAGCCCCTTTTGAAGCTATTTCTAGAAACCTCATAAACAGCACACAGTTTTCTATAAGAGTTGCAGCAGCATATTTTCAGGGGAAAAATTGAGATGAATTGTTTTTCTCCCTAAGTTGAATGAAAAACACTGCAATAAAATGTGGCCGTCCTTGGAATTGTCCTTGCTTTGAGTATGTGTTAAAAAGAGAGACTTGGATAATTTCAGTAGAAGATGACTAGATCATTTCCAAAGGTTATTCTGGACATATCTGACTACGAATTGGGTGTTAGTGACTCTGAGACTATTAGTGATAAGGTTCCTCTAGACAGTTCTGATTTTATTCTTATGCCACAGCTCTATTATTTGTGCTTTTTTTTATATTATGACTGTTATTATACAATAAATTTAGCTATTTGCTAGTCAATACTTAGTACAGGATGGGCATTTTTCTGAGCACTTCCGTTTATCAGCACATGGATTGCTCGTGTCAGTGTTCTAAAGTAGGGGTATTACCTCTGATAACAGAAGATGAGAAAAGAAGGCTCAGAGGTGTAAAGTGATATACCCAAGAATATTCAGCCAGTAAGTTGGAATTCCAACCCAGACCTTCCTGAGTGAGAGATTCATGCTTACTGTCAACAACATAGGAGTAGGACTCTGCCACATGGGGAATTTTCTCTATTCCGGTGACAGCCTGCCTCATATCACGTCTCTGGTCTGGGAGGAGGGTCATATACCTGTGATGACCTCTGCAACGAGGGGTCGAGTGCTGTGGCCCCTGACCTTGCCGTGCAGGGTGATTATATAAGGAATGCCGGCCTTGAGGCCTGGGATTTCCACGGAGCGCAGGCTGCCAGGAACTGTGAGATTGTGAGCCTCTTCCGCCTGGTTAGCCTCCTGGACCTGAATGATAAACTGCTCATAGGTCCCTTCTGGTGTGGTCCAGTCCAGTTTGAGGGCATCCCAGGTAACCTCAGTTACTGTGAGGTTTCCCAGATCTGGAACCTCTTCTGCATAAGGACACAGAGTTGCTGAGTTACTAAAAAAGGCAATTACACTCTGGGATTCAGGTGAGATGGCATTTTGGCTAGGGTTGGGATGAGCTGTCTGGTTAGTGTTGATTACAGATGATTTACAGCAGGTGTTGAGCACACTCTAATTGTTGGCGCTAAAGCCAGGGATTTTTTATTCAGCCTTTGGGAATGAAAGGTAGTTTTCGGAATTATTCACACTTCCATTCTTGACATACATAATAAGGCTTTGGGGAGTCCTTCAGTGTTCTTACAATGAGCTCAGAGCTTTTTTTCTTTTCACTTACAAGTTGTGTGTTCCAACTTCTTAGCTACTATGACTGAAACTTGCTTTGGAAGAAAATCACCTCTCACTTTTGTAAAGGAAGAGTAGGTGGAATTTTCCATGAAACTGGCTATGATTAGGACTTGGTCAAATAAGGGATATGACATTTGGGAAGAAGCAGGGATGATTCACGGGTATTTCCCCAGGATAGTAGGGGCTGAACCCACTTTAGAACAGGGAAGAGCTTTGATTCCTCCTGAGCAGAGACCATAGAGATGAGGAGAATCAGTTGAGTCTAGAATACCTGTCAAGACTTCAACAGAGAGAGGGGTTGTGCTGAAGTCCCGAGTCACCCCATGGATGGTGACGTTATAACGAGTGGCTGCTTTGAGCCCAGGCAGGTCCACGGACCTCAGTCCTCCTGGGACCGTGAGGTTCTGGGCTGCCTCTACTGTGTCAGCCTCCTGCACCTGAATGAAAAAGTGTTCATAGGCCCCTTCCAGAGCAGTCCAGTTGAGCTTGAGGGCATCCCAGCCCACCTCGGCCACCGTGACCTCTCCTAAACTGGGAGTTTCCCCTGGAGAAGGACAAAGAACCAGTTTAATGATCAAATCACACATCAAGATCCAGGGAAACTTTAACACAAGAATAGGCTTTGCATTACTTTAAAAATGTGACTTTCTTTAGATAAACATGCACCGTGCAACTTTCTAAATTTTAAAAATAGAACAAACAAGGAGAAGTGTGGGAAAATATTTGTTTTCTTATTACAGAATTGCCCTAACTTTCAGTAGATGTGGGGATTGATTTTTTAATTTTTTTTCCCTTTTAAATATAGTGCCTTAGCATTCCTTAGCAGGAGGGCACCTGTTTTTGGCACTAAAGGCCCCCTCTACTGGGGCTATGTGTATAGTCCCCCAGGCTGGGTTCTGTACAACTCCAAAGGGTATCATTCATGTGGAGTGAGGTATTAAAGGTGGCCTTGGAGTTGTGTAACCTGATGGCCTGGCTGTTCATTATCAGACCCCATAGCACTGTAACTTGTGGCAGAACAAATCCATTCCAAAGCTGGTTGTATCTGATTATCCTTAGGCAGTTTCCTGTTGGGAAAAACAGAAGCTATAGGTAGAAAGGAAAGAGGAGGTGAGAGGTACCTGTGGAGGCCTCAGCAGTGAGCACTGGTGTCCTATAGCCCTGGATCACCCCATAGATGGAGACTGTATAAGGGGTGGCAGCCTTGAGACCTGGGATGTCCATGGCCCGGAGGCTGCCGGACACTGTGAGGTTCTGAGCGGCCTCCACCTTGTTGGCTTCCTGCACCTGAATGACAAAGTGCTCGTAGGCCTGGTCAGCTGCGGTCCAGTGGATTTTGAGGCCTTCCCAGCCAACCTCAGTCACGGTGAGGTTTTCCAGTTCAGGGGCTTGTTCTGAATAATGACAGAGATGGCATAAGTAAAAGGATTACTCCAAACAGGTTCTTTCTGAGAACCCAGAAGTGGCCAACCCACTGCCACCGCTGAAAGGTGTTCAGATCCTGAGTGCCATGTCCCACTCACTGCATGTCCTAGTGGTCCTGTCCCCATGAGAACACCATCAGAAAAACAATATCCTGCTTCTTTTGCCTTCGTGCATATTTGGGTTTGTCTTTTGGAAATGGTATTTCCCTATTGACCAGTGTCCTGTAGATTTAGAAAACTCTATCCATCTATGTTAGTGATGCTCTGGGCTTCAGTTTCCATTCTGGAAAGTGTCCCTAATGATAAGCAGATGGCCCTTTGCTGTTCTTGGGGTGTGGTCTGAACTATTCAGCCTTCCGTATTTTGAGGCAGTTGAGACAGGTGGTTCTTCTTAGATGTCCTTTCTGGGCTGCCTCAATCTCCTCAGGAAGTTCCGTTTTGCATTTTATATGAGGATTTTGTCGGTTCCTGGGGTTTAAATAGTTTACACGGACCACTTAAGATCAGAGATAAATTAACACAGTACTAGTAAGGCTGAACTGAGAAAGGCAATGAACCTTTCTCAGTTCAAGAGACTGAGACCCTCCGAGAAAACAGAGCTTATTAAGCTCAATTAAAATTGAATGCTCCATAATCATTCATCGACTGAACACACAAAATTCAGTGAAAACTCACTTGTCTGAATCTGCCTTGGGGGGTTAAATGCCCAAGGCTGAGCTTAAGTGGACTTTGCATGACCTAGTAAGAAAGGATTTTTCTGAAAATGGATCCCATAAACAAGAGAGTAGAAACTTCCTTTAGCTTATTTAAAAGAACAAATCATTTTTCCTATTTATGCCTCACATTGTTGCTAAATTCAAACGAGCTCCGTGTGTCCATTAAAGCAGGCTTCTAACTTGAAAATCTTAGCTTGCAATTTGATTAAGAATATCCTTTCAGAGTGGGGAGACATGTCTTTTCTAGAATCTATTTAATTCATACTTTTCCATGTTCTGGGGAACACTTTTCCTAATTATTTCACATTGGCAAAGCTTGCACTCCTTCAGATTTTGTTTGATCTAGAACAGAAGTCCACAAACTATGATCTCAGGGCCACTTGTGCCTATTTTGGTAGTCAGCAAGCTAACAACAATTTTTGTGTTTTTTAAATGGTGGTAAAAAATCCAAAGAAGAATGACATTTCACAATGCATGAAAATCATATGAAATTCAAATTTCGGTGTCATCAATAAAGTTTTATTGGGACATAGCCACACTCATTCACTTACTTAGTGTTATGTCTGCTTTTGTGCTACAACGGTACAGTTGAGTAGTGGTGACAGAGACTGTCTGGCCTGCAAAATCTGAAATATTTACCATCTGGCCTTTTTAGAAAATGTTTGCAATACGTGATCTTGAACGACAGTCTATATACTCCTCATATAACCCAAATTCATGTTCTGGAGCTCACACCCAAGGCTCCACAGCAGTTCTTACCCACCTAAACATGGTCTCTATGAGAAAGAGAGACCCCAAACTCAAAGTGATGGATCTAGATTTGGGGAAAGAAAGGAGGGTCAGCTGCTTTTAAACCCACTGGCCAGGAACAGTACCCCCAGATATAGCAATTCTATTCTTGACCTTGGGATTTAAGCATGACTCAACTCAGGAGCAGGTCTGTCTGAAATACTATGGCAGTCCTCATGCATAAAGACATGTAGGACAAAAATAAATTGAAGCAAAAAATGAAATCGATCCTTACGACTCTTAAACTCCCCTTCTTATCCTTTTTTTCTTCCTCCTCCTGTTCAAAACCACTTGTCAGGAACTCATCTGACACTGATGATTTACCGCTTTGTGCAAAATGAGTCATTGTCCTTCTCTTCCAGGTATCTGTATTTTAAGCCTTATCTCTAATTGTGACATAAAACATATATTTATATATATATATATCTTTTTTCCATGAAAGAAATTTCAGATGCCAGCTTGCAAGAGATGTGGGGAGAGTTACTAACTGTGGAAGGGAGGGGGTGACTACAGATTGTCTGTTAAGCCGTTACAGTAAAGATGGTTAGAGAGAGAAGCTGAACATTAGAACATGTCTCTTACTGATGAGAATCATCTTATCTCTTTGAATCAGCTTTTTAAATATATTACCAATACTTTTGCACAATGCCTCTCACATCCTGCTTCATCATCCAGTTGATGGAATAATTTTCACTTCATGTTATGCTGCTCAATAAAGAGTAGTAGTCATGGTGATGATATGTCCGCCAAAATTTTTGGCTATTCCTCCACTCTTTTTTTTTTTTTTGGTAGGCAAATCAAGAAAGAACATTGATTTATTACTCAGGCAGTGCTGTGGCCGAGACTGTAGTAGGTATTGTTGGTGACTCGTCCAGATCCCTTCACTAAACAAATGCTAATTATGTAAGTAAAGGTGCAACTTCCACAAATAAAATCAGCAGATAAATTAAGGAGAGTGGGATAAGAATTATGAAAGGAGGGGAAATAATAGGAATAAAAATACAGCAGACAATAGTTGAAATAGGGAGCAAGAGGCTTCCCATAAATGCTAACTCTACATTTCCACAGCAAATGACACACTGTGGGCTTACTGCTCCAGAAGCCAAGTGTTTCCACTGTATAGTCCACATGGAATTTCTTGGCATTTCTCTATGAAAAGCCTGTTGTCTTTTTCTTAGAGCTCTGCACCGGAATCTACCCTCTGAACAATGTTAGTGGGCCTGGGAAATCAGAATTTTGAAATCTCATTTCTGTACTCATGGTGGGTTGAGCAGCTGGCTTGGAGGAATTTCTGGCAGTGCCAACTTTAAATCTTTAGATTTCCACCACCTTGTAGATGGCGATTACCAAGTGCCGGCTTGCGGAGGAACTCGCTCAGAGTGTTCATTTATGGGAGAAAGTGATTCTCCCACAGCAGGGGGATGGCCAAATCCAAGCCTGATGACCACCCCTAAGGGCAGATTCA